TTATGGGTAAATTCACTGCGGTTACCCGCCCGCATAACCATTGCCCATCCCTAATCATGCCTTGATGACCATTCAGTAGCATTATGTTATGGGCAAAATTTCTTTTACCTTGTAAACATAACGAACTGTTTAAATCAAGGTTTCTTTTCTTGTTCTAAATAGTAAAAGAAATCATGATTTCACACTAGGAAGGATAAATCATACACAATTTATATTGGAGATGCATTCGTATAGCCTATAAGAATATATACATAACCATAATCGGTTGAAAAGAACGAATGGGGTACCTCGCTAAAATCCATATAAATGAATTCAAGTAGACAATCAAGATAATTAATTTCTATAAAGAGAAACCATCAAAACTCACAACTAACTGGTAGAAGACAAGGATCCTAAACATGATAAAAAGAAGGAAAACGTTTTACAAGGAACAAAGAAACAAAAGTAAAAAAGCTCTGATTGCAAAAGATATTTAGAAAACATTTAAGTCAGGCTCCCTCCCCCTTTAACCTCTCATTCCCTCTATAACCTCTCCGTCGATTCAAATCCCTAATTCTAAAAGCCCTAATTCAGAAACCCTAATTTTAGAAATTCCTAATTCAGAAACCCAAATTCAAAATCCCTAATCGAATTTGGAATCAAACAATTTGTATGAACTTTGGTTGAGTTTATTGCAGGAATTTCTTACCTTTTGTAGTGAGGAGGAGTGAGGACTGAGACCGAGAGCTTGATTCAAGAGCCGAATTCGGGTGGTATGGACAATGGGTGAAGGTGCGATTCAGGTGAGGAGTAAGGATTGAGAGGAATGAGGACTGTTGTGGGTAGATTCGGGATTCAGGCGACAGATGTGGGAGGAGAGACAAATCGACGACAAGAGTGGTAAGGTTCCGTTCAGAAGATACTAAGGTGAGGTTTGAGTCTGAGGTGAGGTGAATGTCGAGAGATTGAGAGAGAGAAAGTCAGACACTGGGTTTGATAACTTTGATTTATATGCAACAGTTGAGATTAAATCTTAACAGAATCCAACGGCTATTAAACTTCTAAATATATATTTAAAAATTAAATAATATATATATATTTTTTGGTTCGGTTTGGGATTACCGAAATCTCAAAAACTTGAGACCGATTCCCGTACCGAAATTTCGGTTTGGGATTTTTTAGGTGGTTTCGGGAATTTTTTAGTTCGGTTTGGGATTTTTGGGATTTTTTTCCAGCCATTTAACATCTCTTGAACAAATTAAAAGAGTTTAAAAGGTGATTAAGATTCATAAACCAGAATTATCAATGGAGAAAGATGGGTTTTTTCGATTCACATGAGCTTATCTGAGGTGGATTCTTTTTTGTATCAACAACTCCGAGCTGTGCAAAACCTGCCATGAAACCAATCAAAAGGAACAAGCTTTTTACTTTGCAATTAACAATACCAGAAGAGGAAAAAAAAGAAAAAGAAAATGAGCACTCACTGTGGCGGTGGATGGCGAGAGATGACGGACGAACTGGGAGTAGGTCGAGCAGCGGGTAGTGGAGGCGAATAAAAACAATATGGATGGCCCTTGCTGGTCACTCCTGTGTTGCTTACCCTTGTCAGCGATGTTGCTCGTGGGTTCTTTTTACCTGTGTGCTTTTTTGTTCTCTTGGCGGCTATTCCGGTGATGGTCTTGGGATGATGATGTGACCTCTGTCCTCACCACTTTTAGGTTTCTTGATGGTTTGATCTCAGGTAATCATGGCAGGTGGCCGATCCTGATGTGGTTCTCTGTCGGCGACGATATCGTTTGCAGCAGGGAGCCTAGTTGTGTAGGGTTCTGTGTGGTTTGGCTGTTTGTCCTGGGCTCCAAGGTTGGTCTTGGGCCTTTGTTTTTTATGTGTTGTGGCCTTTTTTCTTTTGTTGTGTTCATATGGTTTTAGGCCTTTGTTGTACTTCTCTAGTTGGTAATGAAGTGTATCCTTTGTCCAAAAAAAAACAAAAAAACAATATGGATGGGCAATCTGTAATACTGAGCTAAGAATGTGGGCACTTCTGTCAAACCACACGCTTAACCAACCAAATGGAGCTCGGATAATTGGGTCATTCTCAAATTTACCCGTTTACACTTAGGCCCCGTTTGACACATCGTATAGGGCATTAGATAGTACTAATGATATGAAGTACGGTATTTGGTGTTCGTTTGGATTAAACAACCACCGGATAATTAGTCTGCCTCTGCTAATTTAATACACCCTACACCCAGCTACTTACTGCTCACTCTCTTTCTCTATCCCCACTGCCAATCAACATCAAGCAGATATAAACACAAAACCAGAGGTGCCGAATCCAAACCACGTCACGCCATTCTTGTTCATACACCTATAGTGGTAGATTAAACCAGAATGGGACAAATCTCATCTGGGTTTTTAGTTTCAATGGATTAGAAGCTGTGAGAGACAGAGCAGCATCGATTTCCCTGTAAAGCACGAAATTGCAGTTTGCTAGGTGCGTGAGTGACCATCGATTTTGTAATTTGGAGGTTGTTTTTGCAAATTTGGAGGTTTTAATTGGTTTCTAAATTTGAAAGAAATTGAAGGTGGCAACGAGATCGAAAGCTGGCTGGGTTTTTTTTTTTTTCTGTTGGTGTAACGGCTGGGTTTTTTTTGTTGTTGGTGTAATGGTTGCCTAGGTTTCCAAGAACATATTCCTCCATGGGGAAGATGGTGATATTTAATCCCTTTTTTATTTTTTATTTTTAAATTTTTTTGTAATGATGTTTAATTCATTTTTTATCTGTTTTTCTTTGTTTTCTCATTTTTTTTTCATTTTAACAACAATTATTTTGTGAAATACTTTTAAAAAATTATTATAGTCCGATGTAAAAATTAATCCGATACAACGCCAAACGTCCAACTAATTTAGTCAGTACCATCCGACGACTATTTATCATATCTGACTGAAATAATCAGTATAGTTCGAGTTACCAAACAAAGCCTTAAGTTGGTTGGTGTCAATTACATGTTTGATCAACACACAAAACGTTTAAAACACATATCCGTCTTACTAATTGTATTGATTATGCAACGAGTCGAATTCAAAATTACCATGGTGCAAAAAGTTTTTTTTTTTTTTTTTCTTCCTATTAAGCGATATTGAGAAAGAGGGAATGAAACAGCTACCCATTGCTATAATAAAATAAAAATAATTGATGGACTATGATCCGACCCATGTGATGCAAACCGGGTAATCCGGGTTGGTGAACCGGTTCCTAAACATTCCCTCCATTTCGTGCTCGAAAAGAAAATAGTAGAAACTGAAAAGCTAAAATTAAATGGTTCATACGAACTAAAAAACAAAGTCATCTATGAACCCGTTTTGTTTCAATTTTCAAGTCTCAACGACGACTCTGGGAAAAGCAGGATCAACTTTCCCCCCATCGCCACAAACCCAACTGGACTCTCCCTATCAAAATCAACTTCATCATAAATGTTTACAGTATAGCCTTCACGCATATAAGCGGTACAATGCAATCCAAACAGCATTTCGACTCGTCAAGAATATAGAGAAGACTGAGTTCTTTCAAAATTCTGCCGGCGGGATAAAAATAGGCTCAAAGACCAATGCGTATCGCTTTGTTATTATATTTAGGGTGTTTTAGATTTTAGCCCTTACAACTCATGATTTCTAAATAAAAACTCATCTACATATAAACGTTCAATAAAAGCCCAAATTTAAAATATGCAGCCACATCGGAACAATATTGACTTACTAATACAATTTATTTACACCCATGCCACTTTCCGAAATCCCTAAATTTATTCCAAATTTAAAGTTGTAGAAAAAGTGAAATAAAATATATAAATTGTTGTATTGCATTAATTGTATCCATATCATACCAAAAATTTACCTTTTTGTGATATATATGTTTTGCATTAATTGGGAAGTAAATTAATTTGTTCCAATTATTAAAAAAAAATTATACTAAATTCATATTATATATTTTGAATCAAATAACACTTCTCTAACTTGTAGGTAAATTATTTTTCATGTATTGTTACATATATTAGGCACATTTTATTGTTGTATAAATATAGGTATGACATAATATTTTTCAATATAATACATCAAATTACATTTCTTCTTGTTGTAAATTATTCTCCATGTATTAGTGGAAAAAAAAAATTATACTATACACACGGGGTATAATTTTTTGTAGGTAAATTATTGAAAATTAATTTGTAGGTAGGTAAATTAATTTGTTCCGATTATATAAAAAATATATATACTACACCTAGATATTATATATATATATATATATAATTTATTTATTTTTTGAGAAAACCTAGATTATATATTTTGAATCAAATAACATTTTTGCAGGTAGGTAAATTATTTTTCATGTATTATTACATATATTAGCCTATTAGGGACGTACTTTTGGTAAAAATATATAAAGTAATGTGTATATATACACTAAAATCAAAAGCATGATCCAATTCCTAAGTTTATGCAATATTTTGTTGTTGGTATACACTATTTTGCATCATTGGAAATGAACATTTCAAATAGTAGGTAAGTAAATTAATATGGTCTAATGATATAAATACACACACACACATTTTGAATCAAATAATATTTTTGTACATGGTAGGTAAATTATTATTTTTATATGTATTATTACATATATTAGGTTTATATATATATATATATATATATATATGTATATGTATGTATGAACTCATAATGCCAAATACATAGAATTAAGCCAACAATTCTCATATTTGATATTAATGTACAATGAATTTTTAACATTAAGGTCTTATTTTTATTTTTGCGAAATCATAAACTCTCTCCTTACAATCTGCATAGAATTAGTTGTGCACATCAAATATGCAATAAGGGTATTTTAAGCATCTAAAAAAGTAAAATGTGTAAAGTAATATATAATTAATGAATTCACTTAGGTGGATCCTAGTCATTGGATTTTTTTTTAAGTAAAAAAATTTGTCGGGTTTTATATGGAAAAAATTGAATTTGAGGGGTTAAAGTCATATTTTCAGTTATATTTATTAAATATCATATTGAAACTAAAAGTAAAAACGTAACTAGCTCGCCAACGAAAATGCTGGAGAGATTCACGCCCACATAAGATCGTTAACAATTCAGGAAACTTAAAACATGAGCATATGGAACAGGAGGTGGGAATTTCAGCCTCGCGGCTACGATGGTCGCGTACTAGTCACAACCGCAGACACCATTGAGTTCATGCCGCACATGGCATGGCCTCGGCACAGACGGTAGTAACCTTGTTCCCCCCATCGCTCCCCCCATGAGTTCTTGATTATCCAATATGGCTTGTTGCGAAGCCTGAGAATGGAGTAGCCCTTGGCACCATACCCCACAAGTAAGACACCATGGTTCACCCATTTCTTGAAACATATAAGGGGGCACGAAACACCGCCAATGTAAGTTTGCATGAACATAGCATTCAACCCGACTGCATATACGAACAAGTTACATTAACATCATGTTTGAATATATATGTATCACCTCAGACCAACATGTTACTAGTTAATGCGAAACACCAACTATACACAAGGTTGCAGTAAAGAGTTTCCATTTAATGAGCACAAAATATTATAGATAGCAGTGTTTATTTGTGTGCATATAAAATATATATAATATATATGTATATGTACATACATACATACATATATATATATATATATATATATATATGATCAATTACTATGTACTTACTAGCAAGAGGACCATGGTGGACTAAATTCGCTGCAATTTGGTCCTCATCAACTGGGATAGTGGTAAAATTGGCAACTCTTACTGCAACCTTGTCCTGGTCGAATTTACATTCACCCCGTTTCCCAGTGTAAGGGTATGCATTCTCCTCTTCCAACCCTCCTGATTCAATTAGATACTTGTAGGCATTTGTCATAAGGCCACCGCCGCAACCACTGTCGCATGCATCCTTCTCTTTTGGATCGCACTTCAAACAAAAGTAGATTAAAAAAATATGAGATAACACACATCAAGCATAACATTTTAATCAAATTAGTGAAAATAAGTGTCAATTAAGGATCAATATAGATTGACTAATTAACGAGTTTATTACTGTGCTATCGCAGTCCACAAGCTGTTGTTCACTGAGATTAAGAAGCTTCCCTGTTGCAATATAGTGAGCCCCTTCAATTGATCCTGTAGTGCTAAAGGCCCAGCATGACCCGCAACCACCCTATCAAATTGAAGGATATTGTATCAATCAAAGTCGTGAAACAAAACTACAAACTATATATTTTCTTTTTACAGTTTTGCCATCATTATTCGGATTCTAATGCATATGGTATAGTAACATTTAAATTACCAAACCAAAATTGCAAGAGACTTATAGTTCAAATAATTAAGACCATTTATTCATGCACCTAGCTCTCGTACTAGAAACACCCCCCCCCCCCAAACTCGAAAAAGTATTTGTAGGAGTTAATGTGAGGTAAACCAACTTTTCGACCAAATTTGCAAATCATATAATGTGTCATTAATAAAAAAAATAAGAACATTAATCAACACATTCAATCATCAACCACCACGATATATGATTTACAAAATAAAATTCAGATAGATGATTTCTAAGCATTACCCCTGTCCGTAAACAAAATATTAACCACAAGTTCACTTGATTGAATAAAGGAAAAATCAACTTTAAAAAAAAAAAAAAAAAAAAAAAAAAAAGTAACATAGTGAATAGTTAATTACCTGCATCTTGACCTCCGTAACAGCTCCCCTGTCTCTCCAATCAAAATTCTCAGGTAAATCACCAACGTCCATAACCGGTGGAGCACTATTAGAAATACCGCCGTGTTGGGGTACACCTATCATACCGGTGTACATCCGCTCGAACTCTTCTTCAGACAGGTCGGAAAAGGGCGTGACTCCGTGGACAGCCGTCGGATCGAGGACTTGGTGCTCGGCTGCCCTGATCATGTTCTTGGCGAAAATCCCAAGGCGGTGCATGTACTCCTTTCGGGTAGAATACTTCTTCCCGTATTGTTCGATGAACATCTGGAAGTTTCTCTCGGTCCCCGGCAGAAAGTGGTGATTGTCTGTGACTTGGTGTATGATTAGGTCTTGTGAGGTGTCATGGAGAGCTAAAGAGAGAGTGCTGAGTGCGCAGGTTAAGACTGCAACAACGCCCATCGCGCAGGTTAGAGTCGGAGGTACAACTACAGCCATATTCTCCTCCGGTGGTTTACTCTCTTGTTCTATGAATCCATCAGCTATGCTATTTATTTGGAAATTCAATTTTTAAAGTTACTTTTGTACCCCTGAGATGGAGTGAATAGCGGTGGACAATGAGGGTATTATTGTAAGTAAGATGGTGGTTACAGGTGGTGCTGTTGCATGCAGCCGTTGGTGGCTTTGCATGCAGCGTAACACGTGGAGGTCGTTTTGCGCAGGCATGCTACTTGTGTAACTTTATAATTGGCGCTCAAGTTTGAGTCTTCTGCCAGGAAAAAAAGGGCCATCCAGAGTTCGGTTGATTACAAGAGTCCCTTGGGCTCTTTTTGCGGTCGAGCTGTAGCGAACACATTTCGTGATCATGTCGCTTGATTTTTGATAGGCCGAAACTTCGACTCGACCCAACATATTCATTGTATTTTTTTCTGTTTTTGGTGAACCATGTTCGTTGTATTTTATTGTTTTTGGTAAACCATATTCATTGTATTATACTCTCGTTAAGATTTGTAATTCGGCTAGTTAAGATCATCCATCCTTGTATTATAAATTTTGGTCTAATTCTCTCGTTCTTAATATCTATCACTTGTACAAAATAGAAAACTGATTTTGTGTAGTTGACGTGTCGTGTTCATGGAGACAGCACAAATCCACATAGAGACTCGAGTGGTTCAGAGACCTTGTGAATGTCTGATACGAGACATTTTTGTGTCCATCAAATGTCTGATGAAATACCTTTTAAGGATATCTCGAGGACATTTCACATGATATGTCGACAACACTCTGCATATAGGTCTCGACATATTTCCTTGAAATTTGTCAATATGAATGCAAATGACGTAGCCCCACTGAGTGCTCAACAAATGTCCTCACTCATGACGAAGAAAGAGTTATCTACACCCGAGAATCCAACCTGATAATCTCATCTTGTAAATGTTTTTCACATTTCAATGTATTATTTACTTTGATGAATTATTATTTATTTTGGAGTAATGTTACGGAGACCAAATATTCTAACTAAATTTGTAAATCAAATGATGTGTTTGTAGATCATTAGATTATTAATCAAGTGTCAACCAAATTTTTTAAACCAAATGATGTCGTTGTAGATCATTGGATTATTAATTAAGTGTCGATTAACGTGCTTGTTTCTTATTGAAGACATATCATTTGGTATGCAATTTAGTTTAAAAAAGTTCATCTCCCTAACATTATCCTTTATTTCATACAACTATAGTGGCGTCACGAATAATTGTCTCTGGTGATTGTACTAGATCTACAATTGGAGACATCCTCTCGTCCAAATAAATTAAAGCTCAATTAACCAAAAAAAGGAAGTAAGCCCAATTGACCAAATAATGACCAATCTTGACTATTAACCTTAATTTAGGACATCATCTCCTCTAATCTTTGACAAAATCAATTGTCATATCATTACGATATTATCTATATACTAAAATCCAAACACAATGTTACTCTTCATTAACAGTAAAGTGGCGCAAATGCCCTCCAATTGCTCTTTGGCGTCCTATTTTTTCCATTTTTGAACAGTGAAGTTGTAACACCCCGACTCATATTTTTGTTTTTTACTTTCGGAAACTAATTTTGGAATTTACATTTAGTGGTAGGCCAAAAATAAACTCTTGTTTACTTACTACCATTAATCACAATTTATTTAATAAATTCTGAATTTCTCACAAAATCTATAGCTAAATTTATTTACCAAAAACATAGGGTTAATCTTTAAATTAAACCCCAATCCTTTTCTTCTTTCTAATTTTTGATAAAGATTAATCTCATTTATTTTAAGGCTGCATCTAATTCTCGTTAGACTGCCTACGTACCCTTGAACGGGATCAAGCCTTTCGTAGTTCACAATTTCATTTCTAGGCCATTTTCAAAAATATTCAAGTAGTTGAAATATTCAATATTGAACTTTAACAATCGAATCACATTGAATGGATACTAATTATGGATTTAAAATATCGAATTCTGTGTAAGACCAACTCCAATGGTGGGCTAAAAGCCAAATTACCCCCCAAAATTTCCCCCAAACCCACTCCAACCCAAGGGGAAAATTTGGGCTAAATGCTAAATGCTAAACCAAGGCCAGATTCCCCTCGAAATTTAGCCCAGAAATCGGAATTTAAAATTTTCAATATTTATCGGAATTTAATTTGTTTTTAGATTAAAATGTTCATAAAATTAATTTACGATAGTCTACATATATATTTTTTAAAATTTAATTTAACAAAAAAATAGCCTAAGTTCATTCTTTAATAATCTCGGGCTAAAATTTTAGGTTAGAACGGTTGGAGCAGAAAAACTGTTTCTAGGCTAAAAGCTAAATTTTTCAGGCTAAAATATTTGGCTTTTAGCCCAACCATTGGAGATGGTCTAAAAAGGAAATATCGGCCCACTGGCCACGCGTCACCGCACGCGCCTTTGTTGGTGGCAGTTTCCGGCGAACGGAAATCAAATTTTTCGACTAACTCTAAAAATTACTAAATTTTACAGGCAAATAGAGTTCAATGTGTGGAACAACTTTCATACCTGGGCCGAAGTGCAATTCAGTTAGGAAACACCTGAAATCGCCCTTGATCCACTGGAAACCCTTGATTTTGGTGTTCTTGATTCGATTCCAAAACAACTCCGCTGCCCCCAAACTTGTTTGAGCTTTGTTCCTAGGCTTAAGAGAATGCTATAGATGGTGGTGATTGAAGGAATTTGTTTCATAAATGGGAGGATTGACGGCAAGAACCCCTGCACCCACCGTGCATTCAAGGTCAATTTTCCTATATTTTTTGTGAAGCTGGTAGAGAGAACGACCAGGTTCAAGGTAAGGATCATTTTGGCACCACTCCCATTGTCAACGGTAGCCGGAATTGAAAAATATAGCCGGGTCAGATCGAAATGTAATCGGGTCGAAAAGGAGGGGTTCAGGTTCCCCTCCTCTCTTCTCTCCTTTCTTCCTTTTCCCATTTGGCAGCCCCCAATCCCTCCTTTCTCTCCTCTTCTTTTCATCACAATTGTCGATCTCTCCTTAACACAACATCTAGCCACACACGTGACACTCCCTCACTGCTCCAAAATTGCTAGAGCCTTCTAGATAAGACCAAATTTACAAAAATGTCCCTAATTGTAAACGTTAATAATTCCTTCGTTATAGCTCCGTTTCACGAACGATTTTCACCTATGCGTTTGTAGGAACGAGCTCTGGCCACATTTAACAAGAAATAATTTAGTATGTATTAGTATAAAATACGTCCTCATATAATTAAGTAAAACCAACTAGGATCATTTTCATCTTTTTCACTTATCGATATATTTTATGACGTAAATTATAATAATTTTCCGGTCATAAAATTTAAAATTTCTCAATTAATTTTTTTATAATCATAAATCGATTTATTTTCGATTTTCTCGACATATTCATAATCAAACTCGTAACCTTAAAATTTTCACGTATTACACAAGTGGCGGATTTACCCTTACTGGCCACGCGTCTGTCATCGCTTCATCTTCTGGTCTATCATTTTCCTCCTCCTCTCGACTCTTCTACTTCATTTCGCTTTCTGTCATCCAAAAAATCAGATCGCTCCAAAGCTCTGCTTCCACTACAGCTTTTACATTTTTCCTTTCGTTTTCACTCTTCTACTTCATTTCGTTATTTTGTTGCAGGAAATATTCATCTTCCAATTTTAGGGTTTTATTGGGCGATATTGCAAGCCCTTTCTGGGTCAGGTGTATAATTATGTTTTTGTTGTTAATTTTTTTTTCTTTGGCAAATTTTTAGATTTGGGTGCTCTTTCGTTTCTGGTTCAAATTTTTGGGTGAAAATTAAAAAAAGGGGAAATGCTGATGGTTAATATTTCTCCGATACTTGATTTTCTTGGTTTGTTTCTACTGATCTTTTGTCTCCAGGGCTGATTGCACTTCTTTTTCATTATTTTGGGTGCAGATATGAAGAGGATTTGTGAAGTCGCTATGATTTCATGGTAAGTTTCTTTGAACGGATTTGAGAATTTGGGATGTTTTGAAGGGTGTTTTTATTGGGATGATTTCATGGTATTTTTACTTTACCTACTCTGTTTCCTCTTTAAAATTTTCAGCCATGGTGCCCGAATATTGGCTTACGGAAGGTGGGCAGAGTGGTACTGGTGCATTATTGGATCACATAATTGAAAGCCATCCTGCTGAATCGTGCTGCTTCCCAGCGTGAGAGTCATTGATCAACTTATTTTTATGCTAATTACTGTACTAGGACAAATGGGTTAACTCTTGAATGCCGTTCGCGGACAACTTAAGTTGATCGGTGTGTCTCTCTCTAGGCATTTCTTTGTTTGAACTTCTGAACAAGTTATTGAACACAATGATGCATGATTTATAGGCTTCTTTGACTGAAGATATGCATGTTGTCCCAGATTTTCTTGGGAATGGGTATATTCTTATACATTGAAAGCTAAATTTCATCTGTCATAGTGCCACCCTTCTCTTCCGTTAAACTACTGAATTTGTGATTCCCTAGGTCGCCAAATGCAGACCCAAAAGCGAAAGATATGGTCTGCGGCCTAACACTTGATACAAGTTAGAATCAGTTGGCTCTTCAGTATCTTGCCACGGTACAAATCATTCATATGGCACGCGTCATATTGTTGAGCACTGCAATGCCAATGGTCACAAAGTAAGAATGCATACTTCGCAGTTCTCTTATTCTGTATACATCAGTTGTAAACAGACATTTTCAAAATGACAGCCCACCTTATGAAACATACAATATTCTTTAATTTCTTTCATGTGTTTTACCTTCATTCAGAAGTACTAATGTAACTCTAGAAAAGTCTTGAAGCCACAGTACTATTTGTTTCCTCCTTGTTATTTAAGATACTAATTAATTCTACAATGAAGCCATATGCATATGATTCCATATATTTTGATTTTGAACTTTTTAAATATGATGTGTAATATTTGTAGGTGTACTTATGATACTTGTAGGTCATGGTATACAAGGTAACGTTATAAGAATATATTTAAAAATAATGGGTGCATGAAATGTGCTTGAAGACCCGATCACATTCCTATGAGTAACCTGTAGGTTTATTGGATATAGTAGGTGACATCAATTGTGCAAAAACCAATTTGTAGAAGCTGTGTTTTGTGTTTCTTTGGAGGAAGTATCTGTTTAGGAAATGTTTTCTTCTATGTTTTTTGTTCTTTGGTTATCTGAATGTAAAAATACAACTAGGAGAGAATATATAACATAGTTTTTGCCATCCTATTTAGAAATCAGACTAAACGTGGATACTGGACCTGCTTTCCTCCACTTTTGAGGTGAACTATCATTGTTACAGTTTGGTCTGTAGCTGAGAAGTTCTCATTCGAAGGACTTGGTATTGCAAGAGTTATACATTGAGAACAAACATGTGTTCTGATTAGCCTTTGGGTTTTTTGGGCTTCTGTCTGCCATTTATTACCAAAAAAGAAGGAAAAAAAGAAGACGGAACATAACAGAACAGAACTGAACTGTACAAAACTTTGTAGAGAAAGAGAAATGACAGAACCTCTCATAGTGTCATGGGAGGAGAGACTACCAATTTAGGATAGTAGTATTAGCGTATCATTAGCCAGTTTGAAGTGAAATTGGCCATAACCTAAAAACTGCAACTTTTTTTGAGTATCTGTTTCATTCTTTGCAGATTGACACGATACTATCATGTGGAGGCCTTGCGCGCACTATTAATTCAAGAACATGCAGATATAATAGGTCTCTCTCTCTCTCTAACATAAACATCATATAGCCCCAGCTCCTTTGTGTTTTCATCCGTCTAATCTTTGTTAATTAATCTGTCTTGTTTTGGCCTTTTATAGAATAATAAAAAAATTAATTGTCTTCTTCAAAATGAACTATTAATGTACTTTTAGATTTATCTGATTGTGCTTCTCTTTTATTGAAGTTGATTGCAGAACCTGTATTGTTTTGTTGCAATTGGTTTCTGAAATTAGTAATATATCTGTTCAACGATTGAACTGTTATGATGAAAATTCTTTCTAAAATATTGGATGTACTGTGGGAGTGATTTGGGGGCAAAGAAAACTTAAGGATAATGAGTTATGCTTTAGAGTACACGAGTCAAAATCTTCGTTTAAGCATTTATATAACCCTTGGACCCCGTCTGTGATATATTCAGGTTGCCGCCCAATAATTCGTCCACGAGAAAGTGAACCTGTGCTCTTGGGTGCTGCCATTCTTGGTGCTGTTGCGGGAAGGAAATATTCTAGTCTGCATGAGGCCATGAAGGCTCTGAATGCAGTGGGGCAGGTACTAATGGTGAATTTTTTGGATTTCAGTTTTTCAAAACTAATATTTTTTTACCTTTCTGAGGGAGAATATTTAGGTCTGAAGCGAGATTAGTTACCTACTTTACCGCATTTTTTGCGAGCCTTATCAGCAGCTCTCATCGTTCTCTGATGGCTCAAGCCTTGACTTAATTGATTCTTCATTCGTGGCTCACGGCGGGCGCTTGCTATATTGGAAGATTATGCTATTCTTACCACATTAATATACCACATTAGTGTACCACATTATGTGGCATTTGATGTGGCTGTCCACATCATCTAAATTAATCATATTTTAATTTAAATTAAAAACCATTTAATAAACCAATAATAAATAAAAAAAATCTGAAATTAAATGATGTTTGTGGCATACGAGGAGTCTTCTCATTCCTTCCTTCCTTCCCCGTTGCTTCTTCTCCCGTTTCTTCCTTCCTTCCTTCCCTGTTCCTTCCTTCCTTCCCCGTTGCACAACGAAGGTTTTCCAGTCGGCGAAAACATGAGAAGGACAATGTCAATGTCGCACAGTATAGATAATTCATTAGCCTTTTTCATGATGCCGTTCTTCCTTTTAGCATAAGTTGCTTGACGCCCATTTGTATTCTCCAACCCCTTAATTTTTAGCTTTACCCTTCCCATCCTGCACTTTGGACCGCGAATCTTACGCTTGAACTCCCCTTCTTTGACAGTCCAAAATATCGAAAAGCCTACCCAAACGCAAAAACCAATCATTTCTTCATCACAATCTATCCAAATAGGGGATCATCGATGAATCTTTGTCGTACGAGAATTAGTTGAGATTATGGTATCCACACTAACGTGAAAAAATCTGGGCTGAAACAAAAAAAATGGCATGGAAGAAGAAACGGGAGAAGAAGCAACGGGGAAGGAAGGAAGGAAGGAATGAGAAGACTCCTCGTATGCCACAAACACCATTTAATTCCAGATTTATTTATTTATTATTGGTTTATTAAATGGTTTTTAATTTAAATTAAATTATGATTAATTTAGATGATGTGGACAGCCACATTAGATGCCACATAATGTGGTATATTAATGTGGTAAGAATAACATTACTGTTATATTTTATGCAAAAGCCTTGACATGGCAACTGGTTAAGGAGTTGTTCAAAGAGATAGGATCCTTTAATCATGTCCGTTCATTGTATATCATGCAGTCAATCTTCATTAGGTACTGTTTGTGTTTAATTTTAAATATTATAATTTAAAATAATTTATGATCGCATGATGTATGATGAAATGACAGGATTTTCGGGATCTTCACATAGGAATCTCTTGTTCAAAAGCCAAACTCTATACAGTAGAGAAAAATATCGAAAATCAGCAGAGAAAAATATGCATTGGCTCTGGTCAAGCGACATTTCTCATTGGCTTTTTCCGGGCGTTGGGTTAAAAAAATCGAATAGAGGTTTTTTGAACAAATGATTATCTATACGGGAAACAGGAAAATGGTGGGTTTATTCTCACAATGAGTTAGTAATAATATAGTTCAAACTTACTTTTGGTGAGAATCGAATATAAGATCTCCTTATTTATAAGTGAAGATGAATACCACTAGATCGTAGTAATAAGTGGTATGCTTGCTTGCTTGTTAACTGTGAAGAAAAAACCCAAACACGTCATTGTAAGAAAATGCCAGCGATAGATACTTGGAATTGTTAAATAGCCACATTTGAATTACTTGGAATTTTCCGTCCGTTATCGTTGACCCGAAAAAAGGAACAATACTGATTGAAAGCTTGATGGTGATTTGGTGGTGGGGTGGTGATGCAAATGCAGGACAGAAATGTCAAATACTTACCAGGAAAAAAGTGGCTGTTTAGTGTTACAATATTCAGAGAAATTATGGCTGCAGATGATACAAAGCTCACAAACTTAATCATTTACCTTGTATGCATTGCACCATGGAAAACTCACAAAGTCTCTTCCTCATCGGACTTGTGTTGCTGATCGACTACTCGTGTTTTCTTCCGTCTTCCGCATCGTTTTCTAACGATACCGATCAACATGCCCTTCTGGCAATCAAATCTCAACTCACTTACCCTGCCAATGGTGTCCTGGCCGGTAATTGGACCATTAGAACAAGCTTTTGTGATTGGATCGGGGTCTCTTGCAGTAAGCGCAGGCAAAGAGTGACGGCCTTGGACCTTTCCTATATGGACCTTCATGGCATGATTTCTCCTCACGTGGGTAACCTCTCTTTCCTCGTCTCGCTTCGTCTCCAGAACAACAGCTTATATGGATTCGTGCCCCATGAAATCGGTCGTTTACATCGCTTGAGGATACTTGCACTTCAAGACAACCAGCTGCAAGGAAGCGTCCCTCCAACCCTACATCACTGCCAGAAGCTCAAGGTCATAAACCTTAGGAGAAACATGTTAAGCGGTCTCGTACCCAAAGAGCTGGGTTCTTTACCCATGCTTCAGCGACTGTATCTCACTGCAAACAATCTTTCGGGTGGAATTCCGACATCTTTGGGTAACATTTCAACATTACATGAATTGTTCTTGGACCAGAACAGCCTCACAGGTTCATTCCCCTCTACTCTCCTCAACCTATCTTCTCTTGTTTTTATTATCTACGATCAAATGACAATATTTTCGGAAATCTTCCCGGGGATCTTTGCCACTACTGGCCTAATATCCGAGAAATTTCTCTTTCTCGCAACAGCTTCAGTGGCCCGTTCCCTGGTGAAATAGACAAGTGCAAAAGTCTTGTGTTGTTATCTCTATCGTACAATAGGTTAACTGGAAGTATTCCAGAAGAAATTGGGGGACTGCAAAATCTTGAAACCTTGTACCTTGGTGGTAATAACCTAACCGGTAAGATTCCTCAAACCATAAGTAACATGTCCAACTTGAAGTACTTCAGTATGGAATTGAATAACATCAAGGGAAGTATTCCTAGTGGCGTAGGGCGTCTTCCTAGTTTAGTCTCTGTTTTTTTCGCCGGTAATGGGCTGAGCGGAGTTTTACCCCCAGGAATTTTCAATATCTCCACCATAACAGATATCGCCGGAAGAGATAATGCCCTTACCGGAAGTTTCCCTTCATATACTGGAGGGATTTGGGGTCCTAACCTTGAAACCCTCGGGCTTTCAACCAATCAAATCACTGGAAATATCCCGTCCTACTTTTCAAATTTTAGTAAGCTTACCATGCTTGATTGTAGCTACAACTTACTCCATGGACCAGTTCCCATGGATCTTGGTAACTTAAAACACCTTAACTTTCTTGTTTTAGGAGCAAATAAGTTAACAGGAGAACCTGGAGTTCTTGAGCTTAGGTTCCTTTCTTCCTTATTCAGTAGCAGCTCGTTGAAAACATTAGTTGTGAGTGAAAATCCCCTCAACGGCATCATCCCGGATCACTCCGGAAACTTTTCTTCTTCCTCTTCCCTTCGAAAGTTGTATGCACAGCTGTGCCAAATCAAGGGTCATATACCCAAGACGTTGAGCTCCTTGTTGAAAAATTTGACCATTCTTGCCTTGACTGGCAACAGTATCAGTGGAGAAATACCTCCATCGATTGGAAGATTCGAGAATCTGCAAATCTTGTATCTCGATAACAACAGCATTGAAGGTTTCATTCCGGAGGAGTTATGTCGTATCGGGAACCTGGCTGAGCTATCACTGGCAAGCAATACCATTGGTGGATTGATCCCAAGTTGCATAGGAAACCTCAGATACCTTCAAAGAGTTTTCCTAAATTCCAACAAACTGAACTCATCAATACCAGTCAATTTATGGAACCTTGAAGACCTCCTGTTCCTAGATTTGTCATTCAATTCCTTAAGTGGATACTTACCTCCTGACCTGAGAATGTCAAATGTCCTTGAGATGATAGATTTGTCTTGGAACCGAATTTCTGGAGACATTCCGAGCATCATGGGATCCTTTCAAAGCATAAACTCTCTAAATTTGTCCAACAACTTGTTCATCGGATCTATTCCACATACTTTTGGGAAAGGGTTGGAAATTTTAGACCTGTCATGCAATAATCTGTCCGGGCCAATACCAAAGTCTCTAGAAATACTCAAATTTCTCAAGTATTTGAATCTCTCTTTTAATCAACTCTCTGGAGAGATTCCATCAGCTGGACCTTTTGTTAACTTCACTGCCCAATCATTTTTGGGGAATAAAGCACTCTGTGGGAGACCAGGTTTTGGAGTCCAACCTTGCAAGAATCTTAGCACTCGAAATTCAAAGACCGCGCATTATTTCCTCAGATATGCTATTCCGGCTGTGATATCAACTTTGATTCTGATAGCCGCCATTTTTATGTGGAGAAAGTCTAGAAAAACAAGTGCAAGTGTTCCAAGTTCAGAAGAATTGTCAATGGCTCCAGGGCATAGAATGATATCATATCATGAACTCCGTTGTGCTACAAATGATTTCTCTGAAAGCAACTTTCTGGGAGCCGGAAGTTTTGGCTCTGTGTACAAGGGAAGTCTTTCCGATGGGACAACCGTTGCTGTCAAAATTCTAAATATGCAAATGGAAGGTGCCTCGAAAAGTTTCATTGCAGAATGCAAAGTATGGCGAGCAATACGACATAGAAATCTTGTCAAGGTGATAACTACGTGCTCGAGTCCAGAGGTAAGAGCTTTGGTGCTGCAATACATGTCTAATGGTAGCCTCGAGGAGTGGTTGTACTCTCGTAATTATTGTCTAAATCTTTTTCAAAGAGTGAGCCTGTTGGTCGATGTTGCATCAGCTTTGGAATATCTCCATCAAGGCCAATTAGAGCCTGTAGTGCACTGTGATTTGAAGCCTAGCAACATCCTTCTTGACGAAGACATGGTTGCACATGTGGGGGACTTTGGTCTTGCTAAAATTTTGGCAGGAAACAAGGATGCAACACAAACCAGAACTCTTGGTACACTTGGTTATGTTGTACCAGGTAAATCTATTTACTTTTGTTTATTACTGGAAGCCGGGAAAACGATCAGTTGTTGGTTAATTACAACCGTGCTAGATGTTTTTTTGCGTATATAGATTTCCACACTGCTTTTGTGTTTTTTGCGTATTCGCATACGTACATATCATAATAGCTTTACTATGAACGTGTTTTGGCAGAGTATGGTTCAGCAGGAAAAGTGTCAACAAGAGGTGATGTGTATAGCTATGGAATCATGTTGTTTGAAATAATTGCAAGAAAGAGGCCAACAGATGGAATGTTTACGGAAGAACTGACCCTGAGGAAATGGATAAATGCGTCGCTCCCTGACGGTATTCTAGGAGTAGTGGATATTGGTTTATTGAGCACAGAAGAGGGAAGAGAGATGAATGCCACAAAACGTATCATTTTATCAATCATGGACATCGGCTTGAGATGTTCCGAAGAAGTGCCAGAAGAAAGAATGGATATCAAAGATGTGTTGCGGAAGCTCATAAAAATAAAATCGGCACTTGAAATGTAGAGACAGTGTGTTCGCTGTCCATGAGATTGACTTGGCAGTCCCTGTGTGTATTTTGCTTGTTTTTTCAACTTGTATTTCCTACTGTTGGTTCTGTATATGTGTAGACATCGAAATTTCATAGGATTTTCGTGTTTACAATATGTATCATTTTTCTATTTTGCAAACCTTTCACTTTGTTTCAAGGAACGTGTATGTCTTTCCATAACTTAGGGAAATGATATCCGCATACTTCTTTTCTCCTTTTACACACTTTTATTTTTCTTGATTCTCTTGTTGATTCATTCTGTTAGAGACACGGCCCATAGTCCAACCAGCGTCATATCCTTCTAGAATTAGTTAGACTTTCTTATAGTACAAGTATTGTACCCTAGTAAATTGGATTGTATCAATCAAATCAACCGAGTCAATTATCTCAAACCTTATTCTCTCCAAAGTCTTCTAGGTATCTCTTTACATGGTATCAAAGTTGGTCAATCATGCACAAGGAGCTTGCTTGAGACCATAGAGGGACTTGCGCAAGTGACATACATGGTTGGACCAAGTCGAATCAATGAACCTAGTGGCTGAGTCATAAAGACGTGGGTGTACAAAGAGAAAGAACGGGTGTGCCAAATTGACTTCTAGTCTATAAGAAAATATAAAAGTAGACATCATTTGTGCAAATAAAAACTCTAAAGTGATGGTGTTTAGAGTAGTACTAGAAGTTTATTTACATCCATATCAAAATCTATTTACATTCTTTCAAGGAGGAACAAAGGAAAGGTATTATGCATATGTTTGATCAGTGACTATCCCACTGGATTATGTATTTCAAGTATCCAATGCGATGCATTAGGGCCTTTTGTAGCTGCATATAAAATTGCTAAATATTTGCTTATGTTGTAAATTATGTGCTGCTATCTAAGGCTATAAGTATTTTGCCTGACTGGATTCGGCATTAGATCTTAACGTAACGTCTATTGAAGATCAAATAAGCACGGCTATTGCCGTTTTAACAGATCACTCGACATGTCACGCTTGACAAAGTAGAAGCCAGAAGCACAGCAGCTAAGTTCAGTATATTTGGAACTTTGCCTTTGTTTCCTCAAAGATCTGTTATGCAATGAAGGCCTCACTGTCATCTGCTCTTTTGATCTCCAAGCGAGTCTTTTGGTAGAAGCCGGTACCCCTCAATGCATCCACGATAAAATAATCAAAGCCGACAGCAGTTGCTGCTTCGGCTTTGGCTCCATAGACCAGCCTCTGTTAGACATTAACGTATGAATTATGTGGTATTGTAGATTTTCTGGTTTAAAGTTTCCATGTATATTTCATAATGATATTCAATGCACAAGAGACCGACTATATATGAGAAGAGAGAGGAATGAGAGATGCGAGGGATGTCTGCTGCAAGCAGCTGACAAGAAAGAAGAAGGCATGTTGCCTACCTAATCTAAACCTTACACAAAGACTTTACACCAATCAGTCAGCTGCCTTAATTCAAGGGAAAACTGATTTACAATAATACATTGAGCTTACCCTAGAGATTACATTGAGCCTTACCCTAGAGATCACCTTTGGTAGTTGACTTTAGAGATTGGGACAGAACACTTCAACAACACTCCCCCTCAAGCTGGATCGAGGAGATTAATTAAGCCAAGCTATCCCAAAAAACGATGAAATGGAGCAGATGCCAGGGCCTCGGTAAAAAGATCTACCAGTTGATCATGGCTTCGCGTGAAGATGGTCCTAATGACTTGAGTTTGCACTTGAGCTCTAATGAAATGACAGTCCACTTAATATGTTTCGTTCTTTCATGGAACACATGACTAGCAGTGATGTGCATGGCTTCTTGATTGTCACATATAAGAGACATATAAGTAGTAATAGGAAGCCCTAAGTCTGAAAGGAGCCCTTTAAGCAAAATAAGTTCACAGGTAATGGCTACCATGGCTTGATACCCAGCCTTTGCGCGGGAGCGAGCAATTACATGTTGCTTCTTGCTTTTCCAAGTGACAAGATTTCCACCAACAAACGTGCAATAGCCTGTGGTAGATTTCCTATCAAGAGCATTCCCTGCCCAATCTGCATATGTGTAGCTACTGATGGCAATGGACTTACTGTTACACATGATGATTCATTGCGTTATCGAACCCTTGAGACAACGCAGGACTCTCTTAACCATGTTAAGATGATCAACAGTGGGAGAATGCATAAATTGACTTGCCAATCTCACTGCATATGTGATATCTGGACGTGTGATGGTGAGATATATAAGCTTGCCCACCAATCGTTGATAGTAACTCACATCATGCATGGCTTCTCCATCTGTGTTGAGCCTTAGTTTACAATCCACGTGAGTGATGGCAAGTTTGCAATCAAGCATTTTTGTTTCCTGAAAAAGGTCTAATACATATTTTCGTTGATGTAGAAATAGCCTCTTTGAAGAGGTTTCCATTTCGATACCCAAAAAATACTTTAACCTCCCGAGATCATTGATAACAAATGTTTGATGTAGTGAGAGGTTTAGTGCCCCAAGATCAGTATCACTATCTCCTGTGATGATGAGATCATCCACAAAGATGAGTACTGATGCGATGAAAGTTAAGCACTCAAATTAAACCTTCTTTTGACAATTGTAGTATATGTATAAGTAGGGATCGTTCTGGACCGGGGATTAGGAGAGATTGCTAATCTAAACTAAACTGACTTGTAAAAAGAAACTTAAAAACACTTAACTAGACTCTATATACTCAAAACACTTAAAAACACAAACTAAAACAGATTCTAACTAATTAGACACACTAAAGTAAAGGGGGATTGGGTTTTGGACGAAAATAAAGTAAAACAAAACAGAAACTAGAACTAAACAGATTTGCACGAAATTGGTTGTTTTGGATGGATGATGGGCTAGCTAGAAGGTCTTTCTCCACACATGACACACTTGCATACAAATCAATCTCAAATTGCTTTTCAATAAACTATGATGCTCAACACCCCAGATTAACCGTGATGCACAAATTAACCCTCAGATTTTCCTTTACTTATTGAATTGGATGAATGCATGCGACAACCCAAATCATTCTCTAAAAGTCCCCTATATGAATGCGTAATAGAGATACAATTAAAGATCATTAAGTTCCATGAAAATCATAAGCGTTGACGAGGCAATTGTAACTATGAATGCATGATACGTTTGCCAAGAATTCAATTAACGCGATTGTGACAAGCAACCTTCACTACTCATGAATATAAACTTGTAACGATTAGGTGAAACTTATTTATATCCTAGCATCAAATTCATGCATGAAAACTAAGTATGCATCCTTAATAAACATACACAAATCCGTTATGAATCAAAAAGATAATTGAATTGCAATCACAACTTATCAAGTCACAATTGGAAGAAATCAATTCATATTGCAAATATATTCATGGTTTCGAATTCTCCTCTAGTCAAAAGAGGTTTAGTTCCTCATACTTGCAATTAAACAGAAACAATTGAAATTAAACATTGAAAACCAAAGTAGAATACACCTAGAATGCTCCAGCAATCCAATTTGAATGACTAGCACAACTCCAAGCAATCCTTTTTCCTTGCAAATATGCGGCACCAAGGTGTGAGTGGTGAATGGATGGTCTCTTGTGGTGGTGGATGGATATAGATGAGTTATGGTGAAGGGTGGAGAGTTGTGTAGATGATGTGGTGTCCTTGGATGATGGCCCCCAAATTATGGTGAAGGGTGGATGTATTTATAGGCTAGGGATAGGAGTGTATGGAGTTGTAATGAGTGGATGTAATGGGTGTAGTGGGTGAGTGTTGTGGTAATGAGTGGATGTAATGGGTGTAGTGGGTGGATGTTTGGTAATGAGTGGATGTAATGGGTGGATGTAATGGGTGTAGTGGATGAATGTTTGTAATGAGTGGATGTAATGGGTGTAGTGGGTGAGTGTTGTGGTAATGAGTGGATGTAATGGGTGTAGTGGATGTATGTTTGGTAATGAGTGGATGTAATGTGTGTAGTGGGTGGATGTTTGGTAATGAGTGGATGTAATGGGTGTAGTGGATGGATGTTTGGAGTTGTAGGTCAACACACTTGAACACACACATGTTGATTTCTAGCCCTCAAATCTTCAAAAACGTCAATCCTCATGTCTCCATGCTTGCACTATCCAATCTTGGCTAAAAAATGCTCAAAAATGCTCCAAAATGCACTTTCTTGCCAACTTTGTTATTATGACCTATAAACACACGAAAATAGCTTAAAATACATAATTAACTAAGAAATAACAACACAAATGCACAAGAACAAGCTAACTAAGTCGCATAAATATGCTCCTATCAAATTCCCCCACACTTAGCTTTTGCTAGTCCTCGAGCAAAACAAAAGAAATAAAACGAAACAAAACAAACAAAACAAACAAAACACAACCTAACCTTCCAACATTTGCCTCAGGGATTTTCAATGAAACATGACATGCCAAAGATCACCACTTACATAGATTTAAGAATTCCTTACCCTCGAGCATACTTAATCATAGTCAACATTCACTAGCTCACATTTAATCAATTAAAACAACATTTTGAATATAGTAACATGCCTTAGAGAATCTCCTCAATTCCTTACTAGATACACTCTTATTTTTACACAAGAATTTCTGACTACACTCCTTATACTAGGTATATGTGAGAAGATTGATGTGAACATGAAAACTAGTACTCACATATGTTTTTCAACAAAGAAGCAATTTCTGGAATTATTAATTCATGTATATATATGATCTCATGAATGAAATGCTACTACTTAGATGCGAGAATCAGTGACACCATATGCTCATATCAATTTCAAACTCCACAAATTGAAACACACAACACTCAAGATTGAAGTCAATGGTTGTAACAGGGCTTGGGGGTAATGGCTAACAAAGAAAGGATAGGAATAACAAATGTTCTTAAAGCGATAGCAAGCAAAGTAATGGAATTGACACTTGGAATTTACTTTAGAATGCAAAAATCAACTTTTAAACACAAAGGGAAGATTCATGCAACACTTAGAGTCAAATTCAATGCTTTGGACCCTTTCTTCAACAAACAACACTTTAGAGCTCTTTCTCATAAATTTTTCAACTCTTTTCACAACTTTTCATTCTATTTTCCACGAATTTTTCTTTTTCTTTTCCTTTTCTACCCGTGCCTTATGAAGGACTTTGGCACACACACACAAAAGAATCACTTCCCCCACACTTGTTTTTCTGCA